ACTTGATTTGACTCAATTTTTTTCTTATTTCAAGAATCTTACCAAGTAAAATTTTCTCACTTCATTGGCAGAATTTTTTTACTTAATTTGACTCAAAGTTTCAGGCTAACAAGACAAATAATAATCAGTTCTTGTTTAGCAAATCTGTCTCAAAACAAGATCAAAAAGACTTTTTGGCTGGATATAAGATTTTAAAACTTGGTAAGATGGACAGTTTTTGCAGTGTACACTTTGTAAAAATAATTTAGCTTTATACGTGTTGTGATGGTTTTTATTTTTTTTTCCCAGTGTTCATAATTTCAGTAATTTATCCCATTCTTGTTTGTTTCTTCATTGTGTTTCCGTCCTCACCCCTCCTCCTGTCCGTACCCTCACAACCAGCTGACCAATGGTTTCGACCACCACAGTCCAGCCAGCCCCCACTACCTGCATAGCAATGGGGGCGGYTTGGGCACGGCCTTCCCCTTCTTCCCTCCGTCCTCCCCCTCATCCTCCACCTCGGGTCCGTCCCGTTCATGGTCACGCCCCGCCTCGGCTTTGCTTCCAGACTTCCCCAACTACAGCTTGTTGGGTTCCCCCATGGTGCCTTCGTCACGAGTCCCTAGTTGGAAGGTCTGTTCACCTGCTCAGATGTTTCCTCTCACCTCGTGCACATTTTGTTCTGTTTTCTCTCAGGCACAGTGAAGAATCCAGAGAAAGTGTGGAAAATCAGCAGCCAATAACTTTGTTTTGCAGGACTGGGCCAAACCAGGACCTTACGACCAGCCTATGGTTAACACACTGAGGAGGAAGAAGGACAAAGATCCCCCGGCTGTGGTGGACAGTAATGGCCACCCTTCAGGCCATGCTTCAGCCTCAGGACCTCCTCCTGCTGGGCTGCAAACACCAAGCCTGTTAGAAGACAAGAACAGGATCATGGCTGCACCTCTGAAGGTCACTTTTAGTCTCCATATTTCCCTGCTTCTGGTTTTCACACCGTCTTATTGGAACTTGAATCATGTGACAGAACATTATTTCACCAGTGATGCTTTCAGATATTTAGTCACCCTGTGAAAGATTTGTCATCTAATTACAAAAATCTGCTGCTGACTAAACCAAACCTCTGAACTCATATTTCTGATTAAATGGAGGAAGGAGGAAAGGGAAGAGGAGCGCAGAGGGGACAGTGTGCCTGGCAGCACGAATCATTAATCGCCAAGTGCCCAATAATAATTGGCGAGTTTTTTTTTTTTACAGTTAATTGCACACCATATGATTTGGCCCAACCATCATTTCTACATTTTTCTGCAGCTGTTATTGGATGTCAAACATTACTCAGGGTTCCCATGGGTCCTTGAAATCCTTGAAAGTTTGTGAATTTGAGAAAATTATTTTAAGGCCCTGGAAAGTTTGTGAAAACAGCCAAAAACTACACTTGTCCTTGAAAGTCCTTGAATGTTTTTTGGGGATTGAAGTTCTCTGTCCACACGACTTGACTTTCATCATCTGTAAATAAATAAATAAAATAAATATAAAAAACATACATTTGTTGCAGTGGATAACTCAGAATTACAGTAAACTGGCGTGGCTTTCAACAAATAACGTACATAGTCATAGTTTTAGCCAATCGGAGCAGAGTAGGGCGGGTCGTTCTTTCTGAGCCCAGGTGAGAGCACCACAGCTCCTCCTGAATGTGTTCACCTCCCCTCCTCCCAAACTGAGCTGCTGAATCTCCCAGGACATAATTACATGTCCGTGTATTGTGGATATGAATGTAGGGTGTGCATTTAATCCACTTTATTTCATTGATTCTGACTCAACAACTTCTATGTTGTTTAGTTTTTTCATATAATTTACATGATATTAAACCTGTTTATTGGTAACATTCTGCCGTAGGTAACTACTGTCGCTCGTGGTTCTTGAATTTGAGGAAATTGGTACTGGAAAGTCCTTGAAAGGTCCTTGAATTTGATGTCGACCAAGTGTGGGAACTCTGGTTACTTTCCTATTAAATGCTTCTGAATTGTCCTTGAGGATAAATAAAGTTGTCTGAATCTGAATCTATTCAGGCAAATTCATGTTTGCAAACTTGAAGAATTGTCTGTAACTATGAGCAAAATCTCACAAAAACATTTARTGAATAACTTACTTATTACCTTTTGCTGTCGTTTAGAAGGCAAAACAAAAAAAAAAGTTTGTGTTACATGTAAACCAGGGGTCCCCAAACTTTTTCCTGTAAGGGCCACATAGCTTTTCCCTTCTCTGGTGGGGGGCCGGAGTCAGTTTGTAACAGAAAAAGTGACTATTGCCGGAGTGCCTAAATGTAAAAATTGATTGTTTTCCAGAAAGCACAATCAAATAACCCTCTCTGGGTTCTTCACAGTATGTATTCTGCTGAGCTAACAGTCCACTTTTTAGCTTTCAGAGTTTGTTTGCTCTCGTTTGGCCTTGCAAGCTATCATACTTGTCTTTGTGACGGGATTCATAGTGTCGCCGCAGATGGTATTCTTTGAATACCGCCACCGCCTCTTGACAGATGAACAAAAAAGTAATCGTTTGTCCACTGCAGCTGAAATGCCCTGCATTCTGAATCATTTTTTTCTCTTACCTAATCTTTTTGCCATTATTCCGTTCTCTCTTTGAGAG